AGGGCTGAAAAAAATCTTTCCACTCTTTCAGTTTCTATGGTCTAGTATTCAATCACAATTCTTTGGTTTGCATTAGCAGCATGTGGGATTCCAAGAGCACTTTTTATTGAACTAATAGCCAGGCACAGGACTGCTTAGCCTCCTAGACCAGATGCATTCTATCATTTCAAGTAAGTAGTCAGACTACTGCATAGCTTTAAATACAGCAATCTATGAAGAAGTCATTTGAATTAGCTAGGGCAGGGGTGGCCAATTGTGGCATGCGTGCCACAAGTAGCATGGGCCATGAATGATTGGTGCCTCCCGCAACTGGGGGGCCACCATGGTAGTGAGCAGGGACCGAGGACCGGCTGTAGCCACCGTCCACATTGTTGGCAGCAGTGAGTGGTGAGCAGGGACTGTCTGCAGCTGCTGCCAGGCGTATTGGCAGCACGGGGGTAGGGAGGGGTCACCACCCGCAGAAGCTGCAGCAGCCAATCACATGCCCTCCTGTGCCCCCCCCATGCATCACCTATGGCATGGGCAGCCTCTGTGTGTGGTATGCAGCAGACTAGGGAGGGGATGGGCAGCACAGGAGCAGATAGGGTAGGGAGCAAAAAGCAGAGCAGCCAATTGGAGAAGGGGATCAGAGTGGCACTCAGGGAGGGTGTGGGACTAATTTGTGGCATATCTGCCAAAAAGTCTTGCCTCCCATTAAGCTAGTGGATCATTCCTGAAAATGAGCAGATGCCCAATGTATTAAAAAAATTACTGCAATTTTTAATTTCCATAAATACAGATCTACAGGTGGCGAATTAATTCAGCTGTAATATTTTCAGCATCACTGTTAAAGTCATTAACTAAATTTTGTATGAGTACCTCTAGCAGTCTTCTCTAAGTGTACAAATACCAGCTGCACTGGTTTTGTCAAGACCTCCCTTTTAACATGAATACCTACAGTTGTTGTTTCAATCTATAAAAGAATAAAAGTGAATTAGGTGTAGGACTTTACTAACCGCAGGGAGCCCCATTTTCAGAGGTGCTGAGCACCTGCAGCTCCCACTAGCTTCACCTGGAATTGCAGGGGGTTAGCAGCTCTTAAAATAATTCCCAGAATAGAAACAGCAAGGAGAGGGGCTGGGAAACTTCTTGATCCATCAAAGTGCCTAGAGTATGGGTTTCTAGAAGTGAGATGTTAGCTCAGGCTCCTAACTCATCCAGTCGTCAGCTTTTCTGCCTAGATCAGCATTAATTGATATCCTTGTAGGCGGTTATGATACTGAGCTTGATACTCCACCACTGAATTGCCTATGAAAAGACCTGGAACTCAGGGATTAATAAATGGAATAATCTGAGTAGTCAACAGTACATGATTTGTGTTCCCATTGCAGAGTAACAGCATCTTGCCATGCATTAGCTCTGCAAAAGGAAGATTGCTATAATTCCCTGGCTTTTCTTTTCCTTTCAGACACAAACACTGTTTATTTTAGATACCAGAACAAGTGAAATGCAAGGGAAAGGGATGCTGAATGAGCAAAAATAAGGAAAGAAGAAAAGAAAATAGATTAAATGAGGTTAAGAACTGGCACAAAACTGAATACAAACATGCAATACTGAAGTGTGTGTGTGTGCGTGCTCATGGTTTGATTCTGGCTGTTGTTTGCATGTGGTTATGAGTTCAGTATGTGCTTAGGAAATGAGCTGGTATGTTTTGCAAATCAACAGTATTCCTTCATTTACTTAAAAAAAATCTCTCAAGCCTACCTTGTTAGATGCTTACCTTGTTAGATGCCGACTTAATTCATGAACTTCCATTTCAGTGCTTTTAAATTCATTGAGCTCTTTCCGAATGGCTGCCTGCAAATGATGAAGAAAGCCATAAATACACAAATGGAAGATCAAGATAAACTGCTTTGTCGACAGACTGAACTTATTTCTTAATGAGTGAAGAGACCGTAAATACTGTTTTCAGAGAGAGAGGAGAAAAAGGCTGTTTAAAATATTAAAAAAGAAAAGAGATGAATATGATCTAAACCCCATGGAGGCAAGCAATATCTCGGCTGAAGACACCTGTCTGAATCGTGAGACACAGGGTCTTGTTCTGGTTTCTCATGCAAATACCCTCAAACAGGTGCAAGCATATATGTTGGAACAGCAACAGAAAGCAAGCTGGGACCAACTAATCTTATGCTACAGCTGAGTGACTTCCAAGCTTTGACTCTACTGAAGCCAAAGGGAGAAAGTATTGAAGTGCCTTTATTGAGAGTGCCCTGCTACCTGCTCCCATTAATTCAACCTCTAAGACAGAGAGCAAGATCATTTAGTCCTACAGAGCTGATGCTGCAGCAGGACACACAACAACAGCTATAAAGTCAAAGTAGTGGCAGGTCCTAGATAAATCAGAACTTTATCAATGATAACCAAATACACTCAAAGCAGACAGGAAGCCAGTGTAGGGTACCAAGTGTGAATGCTAAAGGCTCTCATAGGCCTGTGAAAGGCCGATGGCCATGTTCTGTCCTGGCAGAAAATTTGGAGAGGTCTGCAATTACAGTCCTAAATGAAGCATATCCAGCTGTCCAGTGAAAAAGAGCAAAACGCATGTGTAACCACGATACAGGATAACATTTTTTCAGAAGTGTCTGGGATCCATAGGGTTAAGGTATTTAGATACTTAACTCAATGCCTTTGGGAAATTTAGAGCCTAAATGTCACTGAGGTAATAATGAGACTCCCAGCTTGAATGGCCCCATTATTTGGTTGAAATAATAGTTTTATGCATAATCAGAACTCTTAGCAAGAAGTGGTGCTAATTAAGGCCCCTGATACATGTTACACTTCAGATGTGATTAACTGGTTAATCATGTCTTAAAAAGTGACCTGGCCACACATTCAGTAAATTAATGGTGTGATAAAATGAGCAAAAAGCCACAAAGTGATTACACAAAATATGTGTAATAACTTTTCAGCTGGTTCCTATCCTGCATTTAATTGAATGTGTAGCCAATGCCCAGCCGTGGAGCACATGGGAGCCATTCAAGACTCCTGTGCACTCCGTCTGCTGGGAGTGTCCCTCAACTGATCGGGGCTCTCAGCCCTGAGCACATCATGACTCCCACAGCTGGGAGCCCCAGTCAGATGCTCAGATCTTCCAGCCGCGGGAGCGCACCTTGCACTTCCCCAGCTGGGAGCCCCAATCAGCTGACTGGTGTTCCTAGGTGGGGGAGTACAGGAAGCCAAGCTTGCTACTTGCCAGTGCAGGGCACATGCATGGAATAGCAGGATGCGTGATTGTTGAGATTCTGCACCAGATCCCATTGTGCCTTTACTTAAATATCTGTCAGGGGCCTACAGCCAAAACCAGCATCAAATCCCAGCAGCTGGACCTGCTGGAAAGAATTTCCTTCAGATCACTTGAGTGGGTCAAAGATCAGCCCTGACTGAAGAGTATGTTGAGTCTCCAAGCAGCAAATCTGCTGATGTCAGAGCCCAGGATCTATTCTAGAAGCTATTATCTTTGAACTTCTGCCTTGTTAGGTTATTGGTTATCAGTTGATGCTGCTCCTTTTGTACATGGTTATAAAAACTTTTAGTCATGGCAGGCCCCCTGCCACTTATTTAGGGATATCTCAATGGGTTTCCCTCTCTAACAGTACAGAGACCAGTACAAGAGAGACCCTGTGCCAGAATGATTTATCCAAGTGCAAATTGCTTTCATTTAGACAAGCCCTAAGTGATATGCTTTGTGAACATGAGCCACAGGTCTGGGCCCTCTGTGCTTTTTATATATAGCTTTGTTGTTTTATTTACTTTGAAAATAACTGACAGGCCTTGCCTCATCTATCACTGCAGAGGGTGATGTCTATGCAGCAACCCAAGAGCCTACCTTCAGCCAACCAATTTGCTGCTTAAGTGACTGTGAAGGGGCCACACAGGCAGCTGACTCCCACAAGGTCTGAGATCTATTATCCCACACATGTCTTGATCTATTGTTAAGATTTAGGATGCCCTTTTTATTCTTCAGGCAGTTAGAGTTGGTATAGTTGAAGTGAGACTGAACACAATTCCTTATACCCAGAACAGAGAGCAAGATAAAGTGACAAACAGAAAATCCATTACAAAAATGTATTTTTGCAATAAATCTCCTCTGCATTAGCTAGTGAAGATGGAGGTATTGGATCACAGTTTTGAAGGGGAATCATCTTTTACAGGGGACTTGCAGCCCTGTCAGGCATTTTCAGAGCTAGTTTGAATTTGCTTTGCTGTCTGTTTTAGGAGCGGAAATGGGATGGAGAAAAGCAGGAACTGTGAATGTCAGGAATTATGGCACTGACCACAAGACCTGACTCTCATAAGGAAAAATAGGCTTGTGCTCTTTCTTTGCTTCCTTATACATACAGATGGACTAAGAACTGGAAATGTCATGTCTTTGTTAGAGGAACCCAAGAGCTCAGTGATATGGACTGATATTTATATAAATCAAAGTTGAACTAGGGTGCAAGTTACTTTTTCCCACTATTTGCTGCCCTTCCATGCCATCCTAAACACTGGTACTTAGCACTGTGATACTACTTTCCAGTAAAAGAAAGAGTAAGAGAGATTCTTAGGTTACTGAATACTGTCTCTTGGCATCACAAGTATCCAGCTCATATAATCAAACCCTTTAATTCCAGTCATAGATACATAAATGCTTCACAAAGCTGAACAGTCATTCATTTCTGCCATATATAAAATAGAAAAAAAAATACTGTAAAGTACAAATTGGTTCCTAAGGGGTACTTTTCACAGGACACTCATAATGGCAAAAGCTGGAATGTAAATTGTAACAGATATACAGATATATGCTGTGTACAGATGTTCATGTCTACTAGTAACACATTTTTACTGGTAGCAAAATAGCTTTGGATCAGGAATATGTACATATGTTCCAGCCCCGTGACTGGAGAGTCTCATAGGTGAGCTCTCCAGTCAGGGGGATTAGAGGGTGGGAAAAAACCAGTTCTCTTCCTCAGGAATCTTCTTCAACATCTGTACAGCTCTCTGTGCCAAGAAAGGCTTTTGGAATAAAAGTGACCTATGGCCTAACTCTATTGGTACCACTGGCAAAACTTTCCCTCAGAGACATAGTGCATGCATCCTACATGTGCCATTAAGGCGATGTGATAAACTGCAGCACAGTTCAGGACCGCAGCAGTTTGAGCTGGGGTAGGGCAGCCCCGGAGAGGCTGACTGGAGCATGAGGGTGCTAAAGTGCAGGGCTAGGTGGCAGGCAGCCACTGCACATTAGCACTGTCATGCCCCAGCCAGCCCCTGTTACTGTCTACATGTGCAGTTCAGTGTATGTAATTACTCTGCTGTAGGATAGTACTATCGCCAACAGTACTATCCTATGGTGGAGTTAATTAATTTACTGTGCCCCAATACCAGCGCACTTATAGACAGTAATGATTTACTGTAGAGCTAATTAGTCAACTTCAGTAAAACGTGTAGATGCACCCAGTAAAATCAAGATCACAGTAAGTCAGAGGCAGTGCTGGAGTTAGAAGCCACAACTCCCCCTCCTGTTTCCCTAGCCACTGCCTGTTTGTAATAGTCCAGCGTTGACCCAGCCCCACAGTAAAAAAAAAAAAAAATCAGGTCCTGATTTCCACATTCATTGATGCCTTATAAACTTAAAGGGCTTGAAAGTGCACAAAATACTTATGAGATGCGTAGTCTCATTGTCCTCAGAACTATGAGAAAAGCTTAAATTTTTTCTGTCCCTTTTGTGGAGACTGTCATCATGTCTGCCTGAGAAAGGGCAGAGCACGTTTACAAAATAGTAACAGACATGGTACTATACATGCAAGACAAAAAAAAAAGATGGAATCAGCACAAAGTATGAAAAAAGCTCACCTCTTTCCCCTTGCACTATTAATCTTCAGTCTATAAATTACTTGTGCCAGAACATTAACCCCTTTGCTGCTAGCCTCTATTAGACTCCATGGTGCAGTGACATTCACAAGAGAGTGCCCTTGATGGAAAGAACAGCTTTTCGCTATGTACCGGGGACATACAGCAGCCATTCAGTGGTTAAAAAATTATGTGGAGAGTGGGAGAGATATCCTGTTTGAAGCATGATATGTCTATCCATTCTGTCTTCCAACAACGATATTGGATGATATCTTCAACACAGAAAAGTGACCTATCAGTTTCATGAACTGATTTGTTTTATGACACGTCCTTCCATTGGCTTTCACTGAACACACTGAATTTTCATGTACCCATTAAAATTTTGTACTGTAGGATAAATTATGTGACTGCAATTTGGGTGAGTACTTCAGTAGTACTGGTTCATTAATGCTGTCCCCCAATATTACATGGAAAATTGTGGATAGGAACTACTCATTTGTAAACTGGCAGAACAGGGCAAAAAAATAAAACAAATACAAGGGTAGCTAACATGGTCTCTTCTTCTAAGATTTTAAATTCGTGTAATGCAACTGATTCCAGTGGAGCTGTTCCTGGTGACTGGAGAGTGACATCCAATGTTCATAACTAGAAAACATAATAAATTAACATAAGCGGAAAAGAAAAAAAGTGGATGCCTTTGGAAGGCAATGGAGTTGAGTCAGTCCCATGAGTGCTGTGGTTCCACACCATATCACACCAGCACTGTGGAACCTAGTAACCCATTCAGGGGTCTTCTACTTCCCTCCACTTATAGCTCACTTTACTTACTTTGTCAGCAGCTGTGAGCCGCGTCCAGGGTTTGTCTGCCCTTCTGTCATAGTCCTGAGCGTCTGCCACTTCCACGTAGTCACTAAAGCGGATGAGGATTTTCCTTTCACGCAATTCTTCAACTGTAGGCCTTTGACTCAGCTGCAGGTGTCAGGGGAGGAATGGCACCAGAAGTCATTTTTTTCAACTCAACATTATTTGTTGCCTTATCTTACAGGCAGAAATGTTATAATGATATCAGGTCCCAAAAGAAATGTTCCCAGCATCATTGGCTTTTGTTAGCCTCTGCACATTCATGAAGGAGATGACAAGCCACTGTTTTGTCTTCCTTCCAATAGACAGGAGCGTCCCCCTTGTGGGCTACACTACAGCTATGTTATGCTGCATCATTGTAAAGTAGTAGGTGGCAAGGCAATCCTGTAGTGGCCTAAAGCTGATATGTCATTTCCCCTTGCTGCTGAGGTAAGGGATGTGGCTCTGTTGATATCTGGATGCTGACGGCACCCAGTAGAAGTTTAGAGCTGGTACCAGAAACTGGTAGGGCTGTGCAAAGCTTCAGTCCCTAATTTGATTAGATGGAGATTTGGCCTGATTTGGTGGCTGAATCTCTGAATCCGAACTGAATCAGAAGACCCTCTAATCTCTCTGAATCAAATCGGAACCCTCCAAATTGATTCAGAGAAATTCAGAAAGATTCGGCGATTCAGGTCTAGACACAGCTTTAAATGTTTTTTCTACGTATGTCAAGATACCAGGTGGCTCATGAATGCTGCAACGGTGTGATGGATGGAGCATCCCACAGGAGCACGCAGGGGTGGGGGTGGGGGGGTCCCCAGCACACTTGGCAGCAGACCCGGAAGTGGACCAGAAGCACTTCCGGTCCACTTCTGGGTCCACAGGGGAGCACGCTGGGGACCCCTGACCCCCCTGGCTCAGTGACTGGTGCCTCCTGGGTCTGGGGGGGGCACCTGGGGTCCCCCCACGACTGATCACCGAGCCGTGGGGGTGCAGGGGGGACCCCAGTGCACTTGGTGATGGACCTGGAAGTGGACTAGAAGCACTTCCGGTCCACTTCCAGCTTCGCCACCAAGCATGTGTGGGGGTGGGGTGGGGTGGGGCCCCCTGCGGGATGCTCCAGCCACCCCAGCATTGCAGCATTCATGAGCCATGCCTGGTACCTTGAGATATGTAGAAAAAACTTTTAAAGCTGTGTCTATGGCCAAATCGCTGATTCTCCAAATCAGCATCAAATCTTTAGATTCGGATTAGGCTGAATTGAATTGGGGACAGTGTTTTGAATCAACTAATCGAATCACTGTCCCCGATTCAGGCCGAATCCAAATCCAAATTGAATATGGTCCATTTCACACATCCCAAGAAACTGGCCCAGTGCACAGCCAGCACAGTCTCTAAAGGTGCCAACTTGTTCTGCCTGTTGCCTGACTACAGATTAGCAGAACTAACTACTACACGTGCACTGTTGCTAACTACTACAGTCCATATTGTATCAGCACCAATAAAAGGAAAATTGACATTATTGGCAATAGGCTTTTTTTGGCTGATGTGGCTAATAATGTCACTGATAAATGCTGCAAGCATGTGCGGCCAGCCTAGCAGCTTGGAGGAGCAGCATCCAGCTGGCAAGTCTGCTGGGGGTGGAAGGGGAAGGAGGGGCAGATCAAGGCCCCCATGGTGAGGGAGAGAGTGGGGCTGAGGCAGGGGCAAGGGCTGCACAGCCAGGGTAGGATGCAGGACAGAGCTACAAGCGACTTGTCCGGCGGTGTGGGGGGGGAGAGGCTCCCACCACTGCGTGAACCCTGGGGGAGCCATAGAGGGCATGTGCCCCTGGATCTGTGTGCAAGGTGAGGGTGGGCTGGGGCTGGGAGCAGCACCAGGCTCTTCCTGGTGGGGGGGGTTGGGCTAGGGCTGTGCTCAGGGCAGGTGGTGGCTGCACTCGGAGGGGAGGGGCTGCGTGGAGCTCTAGCCCACCCCATAGCCCCCCTCTCAGCACTGCCACCTCCTGTCACACCCCCCACCATGCCCCAAGTGCATCCCTGGCCCAGCCTGCCTGCTGGAAAGCGCCTGGCACTGCCCCCAGTCCCACCCAATAGCAGCAACCCATCTTCACCCTGCACACAGGCCTTCCCTTGGGGGTGCGCACAATGGCAGAAGCTCTCCACCCTCCCTGTGCCCCGCAGATGAGCCACTCATGGCTCCGTGCTGTGCCCCACCCTGGCTGGGCAGCCTCTGCCCCAGCCCCACTCCCTCCTTTACTGTGGGGGCCTCGATCTGCCACCCCATGCCCCTTCTCTCCCCCAACCCCTTCCCCTCCCAACGGAGTTACCAGGTGGATGTCATTCTCCACACTGCCAGGCTGCATATTGGCAATCGGATCAGTATCAGCCAATATGGTTCGTTAATAATCAGCCATTGGTATCGGCCCAAAAAAATCTTTATTGGTGCACCCCTACTAACTACCTCTCTTTACTGTTTTGTATGATTTAGTCTTAGGGCTGAGATGCAAGCACATTACAAAAGTAGATAAGAATAGAACAGGATAATAACAAATTATAGCATGTTTGCTCTACAACCATAGCTATTTTTACATTGTAGATGAGGCCTCTCTCTGTTTTACAGCTTACCTCAAATGCAATCCTGAATTAAGCATTACATTTATTGTACCAGATAAAACAAAAGATAAACAAAGGCCAATAGGTTTGTTAACATCAGTGCATTGCTACTTGAGCACTTCTGCAGCAGTTTAATATGAGTATCTCTCTTCTAAATGTTTATCTAAGGACAGAACACATGAAGAGGAAAAAAACTCCCAAGCAACCCCTACATTTAAATAATATCAAGACTGGACCCAAAAGCCTGGAAATTCAAAGATAAGGTCGGTACTTCATCCTTAACTTGGGTCAAGCTGCCTTTTTTTCCTCCCAACAGCCGGAACTGCAGAGGAAGCAACAGCATTATCTCAGCTTTTGTCAGTGTGTGCCAGGACCTAGCTGTCATTTAAAACTAGAATGGAGGATTTTTCTACCTAATGCCCTCCTTATATTATATCTGATGACACATAATCACTACATGAAAGACTATAAACCACAGTTGTTTTCAAAGGGAATACACAGGGAACAGTGAAGACAATTCTCACAGATTTTAACTGATAAATTACTGGACTCTTTTTCAGGGAGGAAGTTTTTTAACAATACGTTATTTTCTTTCATAGTTTGTGCCTAATTTTGACATCTAACCTGGTTTAGCATTGGTGTGGTATTGCCAAAGTAAGCAATGTGCTTATTTTGCTAGAGAGGGTGTCACACTTGACAGTGCCTTTTGATGCCTCGTGCCATGCCATGCCAAGTTGGCGGGTGGGTGGTGCCTTCCACATGCCATATCAAGAGACACAATGCCTTGGACCATTTAATTTGCATTGAGAGTTAATTTAGCTGAAGGTAGATAGCTCAAAATTGCAACAGAGAATTCAACTTCTCTGCCCCCTACAGGATATATAAAATGGTTACAGAGTGAAAGTGGATTGAAGTCTAATGGCAAGTTTAAAATATTAACAGCTGCATTATCCAAGAAGGCTCTTTTCAGATAGAATTTGTCTGTATGCCAACCCATACAGTGAATTTTGTGTATAGTCTGCGCACATAAATATTAGCATTTACATGTCTGAAACTCAGTAGTAGTCATTTTGCCCATGCAAGTATGTTTTGTGAAGATGGATTCTTTAATACATGTATTGGGTGACAGTGCACGGAGACTGTACATGCAAGGTCATAAGAGCACAAACAACGATACATGCTGAAATCAGGGACCTATATTGCACATACATTATAAATAAATACCTTATTCTTATAATATTATATATCATGTGGAGACCTCAAGGCTCTTGACAAAGGAGATCAATACCCTTATCCTTATTTTGAAAATGGGGAAACAGGCATAGACGTATGCAATTAGTTTCTCAAGATCACCCAGCATGCCAGCACAAGAGCCAGGAGTAGATGTCAGGCATCCTCAGTCCCAGTTTGGATGCTCTGCCCACTAAAAGACAGACTGGTGGGCTGCAAGTATATGCCATGAAACTAATTTTATCATAAAAAATATATTTACATAACCACTACAGACGTTAAATGTGCTAACAATAAATCTAATGATAATAAAAATGACCATAAAGAAAGCTTATGATTTAGATTTATAGCAATACGTCCAGGGTATGTTATTTACACTGTTAACAAAGACATGCTAATAATTGGTTTTGATTCTATAATGAAGCCCAATTATTATCCCCCCATTACATCTTCTTAGGGCTCCGTCCTGTAGCAGGCTTAGCACTCTCATCTTCCACAGGGTTGGATTTTCAAGGTGCAGCAAACCTTCAAATCCAATTCACTTCAG